CCCTTTCCCTCTCCCTCTCTCTCTCTTTCCCTCTCTCTCTCCCATTCCCTGTCTCCCCTCTCCCTCTCCTCCCTCACTTCCCTCACCCTTTTCTGCACAATTTACTGGTCATATTCTGCCTCCGTGAGCTTTCCCAGTCGTTTTTCTCCACTGGAGAAGTACTCTTCTCCTGCAGGGACCAGACCTCTCCCCCCCACTCCTGTCTGTCTCTGTTTCTCTCTCTATGCATCTGTATCTGTTTCTGTGTCTCTTGGTCTCCCTATCCTCTCTCTCCTTTCTGTCTCTCCCCCCCCACTCCTGTCTGTCTCTGTCTCTCTCTCTATGCATCTGTATCTGTTTCTGTGTTTCTTTTTGTGTCTCTTGGTCTCCCTATCCTCTCTCTCTCCTTTCTGTCTCTCTCTCCATCTGTTTCTGTCTCTCTGTGTGTCTGTCTCTGTCTCTCCTCTTTTCCTCTCTCCCTCTCTGTCTCTCCCCCCCCCTTCTCTTGGCAGTACTGGTATCTGAACACACTTGTGCTCACTGCATGGTAACTCCTGAGCCGCACCGCCAGCCCTGCCGGCCGGCCTTCTGCGAGCGTGTGTGCTGGTTGCCGGGCCACTGGAGAGGCAGCTCCCCACCAGAAGAGCCATCTCCACAGGCTGTTCACAGGACAGAGTGAAGGCCAGCCTTCAGCTCAGGAGTAAAATAAGGCCTTTCCTGTTTTCCCCTCTGTTTTGAGCCCCTGTTCCACCAGGCTCCTGAAATGTGACCTCAACTCTGGTTCACTTGTCTCCAAAGGTGAGTGCTTGATGGTTTTGGGGGGCTTCTGCCTTCCCTAGGCTTATGCAAGTGGGCCACCTGCCAGGCCTCCTGTGTCCCTGCCCTCTCCTTGCCCTGCCGTTCCTCTCTGCCGCCCACCAGCCCTGCAAACGCAAGTGACCAGGCACCTCCATCACTGCCGCATGCCACCGAACGGTGAGATCTGCAGGCAGCCGGGCTCAGAGGCCTCCCTCAAGGCCGGTACCACAGGTGGCCAAGAGGCGGAGCCAAGGCCCCTCGCCGGGAGGGGCCGCAGTGACTTCAGGGCCTCGGCACCACCCACGCTTCCCTGCTTTCAGGGACAGTGTCAGTTGTGAGTCTTGAATCCAGGGCCTGGCTTCTATCCCAGAGGTCCCCTGCCCAAGGACCATGCTGGACCACTTGGAGCCGCAGCTCCACTTCCCTGTTAGAAAGTCCTTCCTTTTATTGTGCAGTTGCCACCAGCTTGTTATAAAGGGAGCCATGGAAAGTGTTTGCCGTGGACGGCAGCTTCACGTGATGCCATTTCAGAGATGTGTCCACTACCCACCTCCCAAGAATGTCACCGTCCCCAAACAAGACACAAGCCACCCGGGCGCCTCCACCCACTCTCACGCTAACTGGCCGACTCTCTCCACCCTTTCCTTTAAAGCCCGGCCCCATGGGCCATTTTCCTTGAGACTTTTCTGGAAGCATACGACCTCCTGTGGTTAGGTTCAGCTGCACTCCTTTTGACCAACACTTGGTCAAACAGAAGAAGAAACTTCCTTAAATGCTCGTCCAGCCATGACTCTCCCGGTCACTACTCAGACTCTGCTCTCACACCAGCGCCACAAGGAGAGCCATTGAGCGATTTCTGAGGATGGTTTCAGACCAGCTGCAATTTGGGTTGCCAGCCTGTCTCAAGAAAACTTCCTGGGGCTGGGAAGGTGGCTCAGTGGTAGAGCGCTTGCCTTGCATGCCTGAGGCCCTGGGTTCCATTCCTCAGCACCACATAAGCAGAAAAAGCCAGAAGTGGTGCTGTGGCTCAAGTGGTAGAGCACTAGCCTTGGGCTGAAGAGCTGAGGGACAGCGCCCAGGCCCAGGGTTCAGGCCCCACGACTGGATCAAAAGAAAAAAGAAAACTTCCTGACTTTGGCAACCTATCTTCCAGCAAGGGCCTTTTGCTAACAGAACAAGGGCCCCCGAGAGGCCACATCCTTGTCCTTGGAGCCTTCTATTGTTAAGTGGAAAGACAAAGGGATTCAGATGGAAGACTGATTATCCCAGATCATCGGGGTCACCCAGTCTAGTCACAAGTCCTCACAGAGACCCTTTGGCTTTGAAGATGGAGCCACAAGCCAAGAAACACAAGCGGCTGGTAGAAACGAGAAAAGGCAGAGAAATGCGTCTTCTGGAGTGTTCAGGAGAGGGTGCCGTCCCTTGTACTCCTGACCTACAGATCTCTTCTGGAAATCCCTTGTGTTGAGCTACTTCATTTCCAGTAATTTAAGGTAGCAGTAGGAAACCAGAACATTCCTCATGTGTGTGCCTCCTCCATGGAAGCCTGCTGTGTGAAGCTGCGGTCCTGCATGGCCACCTGGGATATGTGGTGGTCACTCATCAGAGCCCTTTCTGCTGGTGGCAGGGTTTGAATGCAGAGCCTCGCACTCGCTTCACTTGCTTGCTCAACTGGTTCTCTGCCACTTGAGCCATGCCTCCAGTCTGGCTTTTGGTGGTTATTTTGGAGATGGAGATTCATGGACTTTATTTGCCCAGGATGTCTTCAAACCACAGTCCTCTCGATCTCAGCTTCCTTGTGACTAGGGTTATAGGCATGAGCCACTAGCACCCAGTTTCAAAACCCTTTTGAAAGTAACTTCTGCCGTTCCCTGTTTAATTCTCAGTTCAAATTATGGAGGGAAGCCGGGCGCTGGTGGCTCACGCCTGTAATCCTAGCTACTCAGGAGGCTGAGATCTGAGGATCGCGGTTCAAAGCCAGCCCGGGGAAGGAGAGACCGTGAGACTCCTATCTCCAATAAACCACCAGAAACCCGGAAGTGGCGCTGTAGCTCAAGTGGTAGAGCGCTCGCCTTGAGCTGAAGAGCTGAGGGACAGCGCCCAAGCCCAGAGTTCAAGCCCCCACTACCGACCAAAAAAAAAAAATTTAAAAAAAATAAAAAAATTATGGAGGGAAGGAATGAACAAGTGAACAGTTCCACTCTGGGACAGCTCTAAGAACCAGCCAATTACAGATTAGCCGTCCTAGGACTAGATCCCAGCCGCTGTCGTCAGCCTGGGCTGTGAGCCACGGTCACCTGGCCGCCAGGGCTGTGGCTGAGGTATAAAGACAGCCACGGGACAAGGTGCAAAGGCGGTGGGGGGAGGGGAGGCAGGTCTGAGGGTGGAGGAGGGCTTGCCAGAGGCTGACGGCAGGGCTCTGTGGAGGCAGCAGCCAGCAGCTCGTGGTGTTGGCGTAAAACCCACAGGGGAAGTGGCTGCCCCGGTGACAGCAGCCAAGTCTCGGGGGCTTTGTGTATGTGCGTACAGTGCCAGCCTTTAGAAAGTAGGGCCGGAAAGCCAGGGAGGAGCTTTGTAGGCAAACACTGATGGGCAGCAGTACTCAGACAGCTTGAAGCTAGATGACAGGAGCCATGTTCCCCCTCCTCGGCTCTGAACTCCTTCAAGCCAAACTTTGGATTTACTTCCAGGCTTTGCCTAAAGAAGGGTGCGAAAGAGCAATGAGGGAAGAGAAGTTTCTGAAGGAAGCTAAGTCTTGAGGTTTAAAGACATAGTTGGGCCAGGAACTTTAAATGTGTAAACTCTCCTTGAAGGCTTCTCATCCTTGGCAAGCCCTTGAGAACATCTGAAACTGACCACGCTTCCTGGTGGGCCAGGGTGTGGCTGTGGCCCGGGCTGCCTGCAGTGCTAAGTTGCTGTCGCCTGCTGCTATAAATGCCCAGGTGGCCCTTGGCAACTGGCAAGGTTCCCCACTCAACCTGCAAAACAGGCATGAAAATGTCCTGATTCTGCCATTTTTAAATGCTGAATCAAAGGCTGTCTTGGTGGCGAGCCTGGCCTGTCCCACCTGGAGTGGGAAAGGAGGCCTGGAGAGAGCCCCTGGGTCTGCCTCTGGGACTTGGAGCCGAAGCCCAGCAAGTAAGCCATCTGGCTCAGCCCCCTGCAAGGGAGCGCGGCCCAGGCTGTGCGGTCGGCTCGGTCCACACCAGGGCACGGATGGCGGGGAAGTTACTCTTCACACACAGGAGCTGGGTTGAGCTCTGGGAGCGCAGGACTTGCAGCATTCCTGTGGGCAGCTCACGGTGCCACACTGAAGGAACCCCAGCACCCCACAGAGGCAAGTCCAGGCTGTAGCTGCTGAGGACCTGGGCCCGCCCACACCCCCAGCCAGGCCAGCCCAGGTCCGCAGGTTGGTGTGGCCCAGAATCACAGAAGAACAAGCAGGAAGGTTTTGGGTCTATTACAGGATGTTTCTTTAGAAACAGGTGGGGTTCACTCTGTTCAGAGGAAACTCAAGACTGATGTTATAAGAACAGGTCAACGAGGTTTAAGGATAACAGTTTAAGAATTTCCTATTTTCACACTAGGTGAAGAGAAAAATTCCCACTAGGCCTCCCTGAGCATGTAGGAACCAAGGTTTAGCTGAAATCCTCGAAGACAAACGCACGGGGAGGGGGGAAGAGCCTGTGTTCTGCTTCTGCTTCCCCTCACTGACCAGTGCATTATAAATAGCCCTTTGTGCATGGAAACAGTGCTTGATACACTTGTTATCTATTTAAAGTAATTTGCTAAGGCAGTGTTCACATTCGATCTGAGAAACCATCCATAGGCACAGGACGAGGTCAGGAGTCTCATGGTGCGGTACAGCAGTCACATAAGCGTGCAGGACCAGAATATTCTGTGACCCTGTGACCCCACGGAGAGGCAGGTGCTCTTTCAAGTAGGCTGGCGATGCGTTAAACCACTGCCTGGTTTGGTGTGGTGGTGGCGGCATCTGTGCTTTCTCCCAGTGTCTCCCCCACAGCCCACCGGCCTGGGTGCTGTGTGGCCTGCCTGCCTGCGGCAGACCCAAGTAGGGCCTAACGATCCCACTCTCCAGGGCTCTGCTCGTCGCTGTCCTCAGAGTCGGCAGACGCCCTGTTGATTCTTTGCAGCGCAGCCTTGATGCTCCTCTCCAGGTCACTGGCTGGCTTTCTGCTGGGGCCCAGGTGCGGGCCGGAGTCCAAGTGGACTTTCTTCAGTCTGACCCCCTGCCTTATGGCAGCCAGAATCTGCTCGCTGGCTGAGGAGCGGGGAGGGGGCCCCTCGGGCACAGCAGGCCCTTCTGCTTTCCTGAGAGGTGTTCTTTCCTGCCGCAAGGAGGCCAGCACTTCATCCATAGATCCTGAAATGGGGGAGACAGAGTAAGCATTGTTAAGCGCAGGCCCCAGGACTCTGCGGTAAATGTCACACAAACACACCCCATTAGCGCCTTTACTTAAATAATCATCCCTCTGTTGAGTAAATGCATTGACTACCAGCTGGTAATCAAAGACCTAGGATAGCTCAGTAACTAATACTCAACTGGCCATCACAGACCCATAGGGCACTAACTCATGCTCAACTGGCAATCAATGACAGATCCAGGACAGCTCAAGAACTACTGGGTCCAACTTGACCCTCACTTAGCACAGCCGCACCTCTGGTTGGAATGCCTGTTTTTCAGGACACCCAAGCAGCCTGGGAGGAACCAGCCTCACCCACTAAACAGGACTGGTCCCCCAGCTTGCATTTCCCTTCCTGCAGGCTTCTCTGGCTTCAGTGCTGGCTGTCAGCAGTGACTCACTGTGGAATGACGCAGGTGGTCTCCACACACACACTGACTAGCAGGCAGCTCAGTGAACAGGGAGGGGCGGCACAGACGCGTTCTTCCGCATAGAGTGTGTGATTCCACCTACATTCCCCTGGAGTAGCTACACACTCCGTCTGAGGGTGTGAAGTGCTGTCAAAACACAGATTCACTCAGAGTTTCAGGGCAAGGGCAAGAAGAAGCTATTTTCCACCCAGGCACCTTGAGACCCTGTTGTATCCACAGCAGGTTGTGGCTACGGTGTGCACTCCCAGACACGCATGTTGTGGTGACTCCAAGTCCACCCTCTGGCTGACAATGGCACTTCATTTTGACTTAAGCCTGCAGCTGACTTTAATTCCCTTCAGGGAAGAATAAGTCTTACAATCAGGGGCATTTTCTAGTTACAGTTCACACATCTTTTCAGTGAGAAAACATTCTGTGTGTTAAGCCTGGGCTTGGCCAGCAATAGGTGCACATGCCTGTCATCCCTGACTCCAAGACTGCAGCAGGAGGGCTGCAGGATCCAGGTTAGCCTGGGCTAGCCTGGGCTAACCCTGAGGCTGCCCGGAGGGGGCGGGAGGAGGGCAAACAGTGCCAAGTGCTGGCGGCTCAGGAGGCTGAAATCTGAGCATCACCTTCAAAGCCAGTCTAGGCAGGAAAGTCCATGAGACGTTCATCTGTAATTAACCACCAGGAAACCAGAGGTGGAACTGTGACTAAAAAAAAGCCTCGTCAGGGGCAGTGCCAAGGCCCTGAGTTCAAGCCCCATGACTGACAGGGAAAAAAAAAAAAAAAGAAAAACCAAAGTAGATTCTTGATAGCTTCCAAAATCGCAAGCCATAAGCTCAGCAAACTTTAAAACACATTTTTTTTGCTTAGGCTGAGTTTATATTTATCAATCTTAATGAAATTCAGCTGCACCAACACTAATAGAAGTAATACTTCAAGGCAACAAAAATACTGGACCATTCCAAGTCTAGAATTCTTGAAAAGGAAGTCTGAACTGAAGAAGGTGACACAGGACAATTCCAGCCATTACCTGGGCCCTGAAAACTTCCAGCGCAACCACGTGGGCTTTCTGCTAGTTCACACAGTAGGGAGCGTGGCTGGTCATCTGTTAGTGGGGCTCCGAGGGCCGAGTTCTGATGAGTGACAGCTTGAGAGGCGGAGGCCAGAGCAGGGGGCAGTGGTGGGGGTGGAGGAGGAGGTGGAGGAGGAGGCGGCGGTGGCGGTGCTGACAGTGACAGTTCCTCACTGGGTTTGGGATGTGTCTGGACAGGGATGGTTCCAGAACAGTCTTGGTGCTGCGGAGTCTTCTCACCCCTGCCTTGGGGGACGGGAGGTCCTCCTCCAGCCCCTGGAGTCCTGGACACCCACTGGGGATCAGCAGAGGGTGACTGCAGGTTCCCAGTCATGGCTTCTGGGCAGGTCTTCAGCACAGACTGAGCTGGACACTTCTGAACATGGAAAAACTCGTGAGAAGGCTGCCACCAACGCACACCAGGCAGGTGTGAACAGACCTCTGCAAGCGTGATGTGTGCACAAGTTCTCACTGCAAAGTGGCCCTGGGTCATTTGCACTTACATGATCTCACTACTAAGCCTCTTTCTATGGATTGGAAAAGCAAGCACTTGGGTTGGAGATGTGGCTCTGCTGGTGGAATGCTACCCAATGAACAAAAGGTCCAGCACCAAATTCTGGTCCAGATCTCAAACCAAAAATCAAAAATAAGCACTTGCTGAGCATGGTGGCTCACACCTACCATCAACCCAGATGCTCCAGTGTGAAGAGGATCACAGTCCAAGGACAGCCCAAACAAGTTAACAAGACACCATCACAATCAAAACCAGTCCTGTCTGTGATCCTTGCTACACAGCAGGCTGGGTTGTGAGGACCAAAGTCTGGGGCAAAAACAACTAAAACCAAAGAGAGCTGTGGGCATGGTTCAGAAGGTAGAGCACCTGCCTAGCACCTCAAGGTCATGAGTTCAAGCTCCAGTACCACCAAAAATAACAAAGCAATTACAGCCTTCAATCAAGTTTTATTAACTTCTTGGTAATGAAATGAAGATGTGAAAAGATTAGATGAAAGTACAAGTTTTAACATGAAAAATCAGGAACTCTAAAGGACGAAAGGAAGATGGAAACATGGCCAATTTAGTCAAAATATTAAGTCATGGAAAGAAGTAACACAAAACCTGAAGTGTTGAATACAAATGGTAGGGTAAAAGAACAGGCACAGGGGGCTCACGCCTGCATCCCAGCTTCTCAGGAGGCTGAGATCTGAGGTTCAAAGCCAGCCCAGGCAGGAAAGTCCATGAGACTCCAGTCACTCACCAGAAAACCAGAAGTGGTGCTGTGGAGCTCAAGGACAGCACCCAGGCCCAGAGTTCAAGTCCCACAACCAACCAAAACAAAAAACAATAAAACATTTCATGTTCTGAGTTGTCTGCTCATAGTTTATACTTTCTCCTAAGATGGGCTTTAGGTGAAATAATTATTTCTAGAACTTACCCCTTTATATTCTCTTAATCGTTGGAGCGTTTTTTGACGTTCTAGGTTTATCCATTCCTTTTTCTTTTGCTCCTCTTCTTTTACTTTGTCTCTCTTCTGTATTTGAGCAAATACATGTTTGTAAGTTGCTCATGTATCGTGACAAAGAACGAGGCTCACCCCTGACATGCACCCAACCTGTGCCAGCTCAGGACACAGCGTTTCCCTTCCGTGACTCACCATCTGAATGCTGTGATGCTGATGAAGATATCTTATGCTTGCTTCAGCCTGTTGTAATCTGAGCCGGTGAGTTTCTTTGCACTGGCCCTAATAATGTAAAGCACACAGACAATTTCTAACACAGCCCTGGGCTGTAGCACTGCCCCGTGCTAGTGTGAGTGTTCATTAATCTGGTTCCTGGTGCTCCCTAGTCTGCCCCCACGGCCAGATGAGAAGGGCTGACTGGCTACGCACAGGAGCACTTTGTTCACAGCAGAGTTCTTGGAGAGGTGCAGTTCACACCAAGCTGGTTTTTAAGCTATTCACATTTGTTGTGCTGGCCCTGGGTCCTAGACTCAGGCACTTGAGCGCTCACTCCGCTTTTTCACTCCCAAACTGGTGCTCTACCACTTGAGCCATTCCTTCTAGATTTTTACTGGTTAGCTGGAGATAAAGAATCTCATAGGCTTTCCTGCCAGGGCTCGCTTCAAACTACATGTAGGTAATGAACCAAGGGGCCCATGGCTACTGAGTAGCTCGACTGTGATTTCAACTTGAAGTAGACTCTGGCTCCTGTCCCATTAACCCAGCTTTCCAGAAGCCAGTGGCAGGTGTGGGCAGCAGGGATGGTGTGTGGGCAGATGCCCCAGGTCCTCTGATAGGTGGAGGCCTCCCTCACGCCACCATTACGCAGCTCCAAGGGCTGAGCTGAGCACGCCGCCTCTGCCCGGCCTGCTGGAGTGCGGGGCAGGGAGCAAAGGCTGGGGTTGTCAGATCATCTGTGTGGCTCCTAACCCACACCTCTAGCAACCTGTGAAGAATGGGTACCGTCATAACTTCCTACAGAACTTTCATTTCTGTCTTTAAAGTATCTAAGTATTTATAGTACATATGTACAAAATGTAAGAAGACAGTCATAAGAGCGAGGGAAGAAATGACATTGTCCAAAAAGAAGTACACTCTTTACCTAAGTTATATAACTATAACCCTTCTGTATGATAACCCTTTATAATAACATAAAACAGTAATAAACAGAAAGATCATGAATTGAAGGCCAGCCTGGGTTACAAGTAAGGCTTTGGCTCAAAAAAAAAAAAAAAAAAAAAATGCCGGGTGCCAGTGGCTCACGCCTGTAATCCTAACTACTGTAGAGGCTGAGATCTGAGGATTGTAGTTCAAAGCCAGCCCGTGCAAGAATGTCCCTGAAACTCTTATCTCCAATAAACCACCAGAAAACTGGAAGTGGCGCTGTAGCTCAAGTGGTAGAGCGCTCACCTAGAGCTGAAGAGCTGAGGGACAGCACCCAGGCCCAGAGTTCAAGCCCCAGGACCAACAAAAACATAAAAAATAAGTAAATAAATAACACAGCCAGCCCAGGCAGGAAAGTCTGAGACTCTTATCTCCAATAAACCACCAGAAAACCAGAATTGGCACTGTGGCTCAAGTGGTAGAGTGCTCGCCTTGAGGTGAAGAGCTCAGGGACAGCGCCCAGGCCCAGAGTTCAAGCCCCACAACCAACACAAAACAACAAATAAATATATAATGTATATATATATTTTATATATATATATGAAATATATCTAAAATATATTTCAGAAAACTTTACATAGCTGATAATTCCTGTTTCTACCTATTTATATATGTGTGTATACATACATACATGTATATATATACATACATACATGTATGTATACAGATCTATGTACACACACAATTAACGACTGAGCACAACCTCTGTCTTTCCTCAGAGGAGACAGTACAGCCTCCGGCCCGCTACCTGTCTGCTCCTGAGGCGGGCCCTCTTGGTGCAGATCCTGCCCCGCTTGGCCTCCAGCTGCCGCCGCTGCCGGTTGAGCTCCGCCAGCTCTGCAGGGTCCTCCAGCTCCCCAGCATCCACAACCACTTGAAGTTCCTCTGCACTTTCACATGAGTCGTAATAGACAACTTCATCCTGCTTTTCTAAAAACATGATGGATTTTCTTAAACACACCTTACTATAAAAAATGCACAGATAAGGGAAATCTACCACCCATGGAAACCCACTATTAACATTAGGTACATAGAGCCACACACTTCTTACACAGACACACATATCAACAGAGTTCAAAGCACATCTTCCATGTGAAGGAAATATAATTTTAATGGCAACATAGTATTCTCTAAGCATTATCTACTATTAGAATGTTCCAGTGTTGCAGTATTACCAATTTCATTACAGTAAACACTTCTCTAGGCAAAATCATCTGTACTTCACTAGCAAATGAATATTCCAGATTCTTGGTATCTTACTGTCAAGTTACAATCCAGAAAGTAAATTTCCACCAGTAATATATAGTAAAGGTGCCTTACTGGTATTTAATCCTGTTTGCATATTATTTTTTTAAAAGCATACTTATAGGGGCTGGGAAGGTGGCTCAGTGGTAGAGTGTTTGCCCAGCATGCACAAAACCCCAGGTTCCATTCCTCAGCACTACATAACAGGAAAAGTCAGAAGTGGTGCTGTGGCTCAAGTGGTAGAGTGTTAATTGAGCAAAAGAAGCTCAGGGACAGTGCCCAGGCCGAGTTCAAGGCCCAGAACTGGCAAAAATTAAAAAAAAACATACTCATAATAAACTCATTCACTACATAAGTGCATAATAAAAAGTGAGAATTCCTTCCTCCTTTCTCAAACACTGAGTCCAGGTTTTAGGAGCAAACATCAATTTGGCATGCATCCTTCCACATTAACTTTCCAACAGAATTTCTTCCTAAATACCAAAAAAAGTGTGTAAGTTGAAAGTACTGAAAAATTTGAATACCAAGGTTTGAACTAAATGTCCAAGATATACATGAAGAAAATTACTAACTTTGGAGGAACTTCAGAAAAAGAAAAGATTTAAGTGCATGGAGAGACATACCATCACCTTGGGCAGGAAGATTCAAAATTGCAAAGGTGACAGCTCTTCCCCATGTAATCTCTAACTTTAAGTACCATCCCAATCAAGTTTCCAGTTGCGTTTGTGTTAAACTTGCCCAAGTGATTGCTACATCCATCTGGAAGGACAGAAAAGTGAGAGGAGATATAAAATGCTGGAGAAGCGGCGAGGGTGGCATCTGCCCTCCCGAGAGGAACCCGTGCCCCAAGGCCCAGGAACCACACGAGTTGGCGTGCAGACTCACGAGCAAAGGAGACCGGCACCCAGCAACAGATGAGAGCAGTGTGAGGTTCTGGCGAGGACGCATCCCTGCAAAGCCGCAAGGACCACCACTGATCTGGGCAGAAAAGCTCACTTTCCACCAGAGTCTGACAAACTAATATCCTTAACGTGGAAAACAAATGTTCCAATGCAAACCAGAGACCAGGAGTAGACATGACAAAAACTCTTAAGTGACCAGAAAACACAAAACTGTGTTTAGGGGCTGGGAAGGGGCTCAGTGGGGGAGCGCTGGCCTTGAGCAAAAGAGCTCAGAGACGGTGCCCAGACCTGAGTTCAAGTCCTTATGACTGACAAGAATAAAAAGGGGGGCTGGGAAGGTGGCTCAGTGGTAGAGCACTTGCCTTGCATGCATGAGGCCCTGGGTTCCATTCCTCAGCACCACATGAGCAAAAATAGCCGGAATTGGCACAGTGGCTCAAGTGGTAGAGCGCTAGCCTTGAGCTGAAGAGCTGAGGGACAGCGCCCAGGCCCAGAGTTCAGGCCCCAGGACCAGACCAAAAAAAACCCCAAAAAACTGTGGTTAGTATCACTTGTGAAAATCAGAAGGTGGCATTTTTTTCTATCAATTGACAAACAGCCAGGAGTGAGTGAAGCATTTGTTTGCACTGGTACCAGAAGCATGACATTTAGAATTAGAAAGTAATACAGATGTAAGAAAAGTGCATCCCAAATAACTTTAGTACTGGTGTTTTAATGTGCATTAAAACATAAAAGACGTTCTTAATCCAATAATTCCACTTTAGAAATTAATTTCAAGGAAACTATCCTATACACAAAACATGTATGAAGGGAAATTCTCTGCTCAAGACATTTTTTAAGCTAGAAGTCAAAGTATACCTATAAATTTGAATACTATGCAGCCATTAAAATTTTTGATTTTTTATTACTGAAATGGAAGATGTTTATTATAGTATAAGTAAAATATTGTTACCACACAAAGGTTTTGGTTTTAAAAACTGACAGTCACATTTACATTAACTATATCAAAAAAGCTACAAAATCAACACCAAATTGTTCCTAAGTATCTCTAAATGATGGGCTTGGAGTTTTCCTTTTCCGTTTTGCTGCATGTTGAACAATGAATATATTTGAATAATAAAACTACTGAAAGGGGGGGCTGGGAAGGCAGCTCAGTGGTAGAGCACTTGCCTTGCATGCATGAGGCCCTGGGTTCCATTCCTCAGCACCACATGAGCAAAAAGAAAAAAGCCAGAAGGGGCACTGTGGCTCAAGTGGTAGAGCGCTAGCCTAGAGCTGAAGAGCTGAGGGACAGCGCCCAGGCCCAGAGTTCAAGGTCCCGTGACCGGACCCAAAAAAACCACACACACACACACACACAAAGGGAAGAGCTATCTTGGCAAATTACAGAAGTTGCAGATGACAGGGTAAATGTTTTCTGCTTGGTTTTTCCACTGCCACCTTATGGCACAGGGCCAGGCAGTTCATTATAGACGGAACCTCCATTTTATGCTTCACAAAATGTCAGTTGGTCATGCGGTTCCTTTCTTCCTAAAAGCAGGGCTGAGGGGAAAGCTGTGGGCCGAGTTGCAAAACCTCTGCTTTGGCAATCGCGTGTGTGTACAGAGGGCAGGTGTGGGCGGGGAAAGAAGAGAAGAGTTCTTTCCTGCCAGCCATTGCACCAGTCCTTTTGCTCTGTCTTCCTAACAGTTTATCTTGGTGCTTTGCATCCCAGATGGCTTTGAACTGGGATCCTCCCAATCTTCGCCTCCCAAGTAGCTAGGCTACAGGTATATGCTACCAGTTCCTGGCCAAAAATGCACCTTTTTAAAAACTTTTTTTTTTTTTTTT